TGGATAATTCCCCGGTAACAGGCTTTCGGAAAGTGATCTTAAAGTTTCCAAGCTCCTCTGAGAAACCAGCGATGGATGCGAGGCGGTTTCTCTCCTCGACGTGAGCCTCCAGTGTGCCCTGTGTGTCTGCTGCTGCGTAAAACATCAGGGAGATGACTGGCGCTTGAGGGGCAGAGCTCTGGTGGGTACAAATAGAAATCATTAAACATAGGCAGTAACTGCAATTGCTTTAAATAAATGGTACATTTTTAACCACACAAAATACATTTAGGTACATTAAGCTAGGAGTCAGTACTCACATGCTGTTTGGCAGTGATCCTCCAGGTCCAGTCTCCTCCATGATCCCCTCCCATCCTCTTGACAAACTCCGTAGTTAGTGTGAAATCATTGTCTCGGATTTCCTGGACCCCAAAGGTGATCCCATCATGCATCAGCCAGCCATAGCCATGCAAACGATCCCCTTGCTCACAAGTGTGCCTCAGGTTTACATCCATGTCAGAAAACTGACGCATCCACATCATGCCTGGGGAGATGTAACAATGAAAGTAAAGATTTGGTAGTACAGCACAAAGTATGCACAAATGTATAATTTGGAAAATAAACAGTTAACAGTTTCACATAAAAGGTAAGTCCCAAGACTCACTGGCTACACGCACCAAGTTACCAGCCAACTGGGTTTCGAGAACAGCAGTGTTTAGTTATGAGTTGTTACTCAATATTGGAAAATGCAGTTCACTTTTTGCTGTCAACTAATTAACAATATTGGTCATCCAAATTGGTTGACAGGGTAAACAGTCCTAGGAACTGTGGCCAGAATTTACTTGAATTTGACAAGTGCCTGGGCTTGTTTCCCACCCTGTCTCTGATCCAGTGAAATTAAACAACAAATCAAGTATTTTTGTAAAACCTCATATTAAACTGTACTAGTTGTTTGGGATTTTGGTTATATAGTGACACCTTTAACATCCATCTTTCCCCTTTTATTTCTTCTTAAGTAGTTTCTAGATTACAATTCATTGAAGCTATATGATGTTTACACTGAGAGAAATGTTCAAACCCATGACTCCATGTTTTCTTATGGCTGCACCATTCTATAAAATGGAAATGTTCCTAGATTTATTTTGCTTTGTATCTATTATCTTAGCAATAAAGCTCTATGAACTTAACAGAATCAATGGAGGTTCAGAAAATATGGACACAGTATCATATCACATAGTGTATATGAATATCTGTATCTGTCAAATACTGTATATTGTGATATTTTATTCTGTCCATATCACACAGCATGACCAATATCGCCACTATGGGGACTGTGACAGTGACCCAGGTGGTCTGTATCAATTATTCACTGCCTTTGTCTCTACATGACAGCATCATTAATCTTGGTGGCCTCTCAGTGGTTCATATGAAAGAGATTTGTAAATTGAATCTGATCTGTACAATATTTCAAATGGTTTCCTTTAACTGTTTCGCCACAGATTTACATGGCAGCTTCAGCTTGACTTTGAACGTGTCAGCCTACCTGTTACAATCGAACTGGGAGTTTTGGTTTTCATGCCGAAGTAGACCTGAGGCCTGTATGAGCCCCAGAACCTCTCCGGAGAAACCTTGGCACTGCTGCTATTGGCATCCAGGACAGGAGGTGATGGGTGCAAGGTCACCACCCGTTTGGCCAGGCTGGACCGCATGTAGAGGGCGTAAAAGAACCAGATCAGGCTGAATATGCAGAGGCCAATGGAGATGTTGATGAAGACTTTGCCAATATCAACTTTCTTTTTCTTCTCTTTGCGGTGAAATGCAGTGGGCTTCTCATCTTTCCTTGGAGGGGGAGCAGCTTCACCAGTCACCACCCTCTTCCTCTGCCTGCCCATCCTGCCCTTCTGAAGCTGGAAACAAGAAAAGGTGTTAAAGATACTGAGAGGTAACTGAAGGTTTGGTTTTAAACTGTGTTTTTTTATTAACTTATCAATCAACAGTTTTATACATGTGCACCTGTTTTGTGCATGTATCTATTAATAACGAGCAAATTACACAAAAGTGTGCAACAACATACAATATTAAGTTACAAGTCATTTATTTTTGCTGCAGTACAGGATCCAATAGTTATTGAACCTTAGATATCCCAGGTATGCAGTTACTTTAGTAGAATTTGGTTAAGGTACTACACACCTTTTTGGACTTCCAGCTCTCAAGCTGACTCTTTCATTACCCTCAGAAATTTTAAAGCTTTATTATCTGACGTTTTTTTATAACTCCTGAAACTGTTTCTATTGACATAATATTTATCTCTTGATTATTGGTAGTCTGCCTTACACTACACAGTTAAACTATCCAATTAGCTGACAGTTTATCAGGTACATCTAGCTAAAACTAGTAAATTCTATTTTAATTAAGATTATAATTTTGTTGAAACTGTTTAAGAAATTGTTGATTCATCTTTGTGGTGATTTTGAAGGCTGAGAGCTGATTTAGTCCACCCTCAATCTCATATATAGACTTAACTAACAGGTAGACTAGATATCATAAACACAGCAACATGAACTACAGCCTCCAAATTAACCATAAAGTTGAATAAAAACTGTTCCACCATGACTGACTGACTTATTTCAGGACTATTGTATTATACTGTAATAGTTTAAGCTAGATCCACCTAATAAACTGGTCACTAAGAGTATGTTATTTCTCATGTTTCTCTTTTTTTGGATAAAGCTTATCTGAATAAAGTGTCTAAGGATAGAGGGTGTTATACACAGTACCGATATTTAAAGCACTTTGCTTTGGTCTATAGAAATAAATAGCACACATACATGAATAAAACTGATTTGAAATTGACTAGCTGGATGTATGACTGTAACTGTTTTTTATTCTTGAGTCTCTCTTTAGAAAGAGATCTTGATTTCAATGAGACTACCTGATAAAATAAAAAAAGTACACAAAATTCTAGCTATTTTACAGTTAACCAAACAACCAAAAGGTGGAGCCAGGGTGTAGGGTATGCAGTTCTAAAAAAAAAAAAAAGGCACACATCTAACAATAACAGATAGGCATACTGGTTTTACATGTTTTACACCATTTCTGTTGACTCTGTAATCTGTAGCTACACAGCTGCCAGTTTATTAGCTCCACCAAGCTGAAAACTAATGCAGTCTCATACAACAGCCCTGCACTAAATCCTCCTTTAATGGAGGTAAAGACTGTGATTCAACAGTTTGTGTGGGTGTGCATCTTGGATTGAAATATAAGAAACACCTCCCCGTCCACGAAGGTAGGATTCATCCCAGTGCTGTTGTACTAGACAGCATTAGTTTTACCAAACATTGTGCACAAAACTCTAGAGTTTATACTAGATGCTAGATACATGATATGGCTCTACTTATAACGATATCTCAGATAAAACCTCGTCCTTATAAATCCTGTACAAAGCTATCTGTAACGTACGTGAACTTCACGTCATATCAGGCTACAGAGCAGTCTAGCTAGGTTTACGTTGCGTGGTGTATGAATGCAGAAACAAGGGGCTTTATCACGTCGCCGAACGTTTTACAAGTTAAACACAGCTCCTATGCATAGTGTCTCCAATTTAAGTAGCGACCACCTGTTTTAAAAGAGCACACACTGAGTTGGTAACTCGCCTTTACGCCCCGGCAATGCAACGTTGCCTTGCAAGGCTGCACGCTACTCGCTAGTTAGTGGCGTAATGCTAACGTTAGTTGGGCTTTTTTTTTTTCATTTTTTAACGAAACTGACCTGTCGCAAGATAATACAGCTGCAATTAGTCGCCAGGTAATTAAATACGGAGCCTATTTGTAGTTCTAGCTTAATGTTCATTGAGCAAATGGTTACCGACCTGTCAAAATACCGGAATCTCAGCTGCTCATCATACGTTGCTAGCTCACTAGCCACTTCCTGGTTACTAACTCGTTTCCACTGACGTGTACTTCGCTCCCCGGTGTACGTGTGACGTCATCAATTACCTTGCCACCTGCACGTCGTGCGACTGAAATATGATTTTACTGTTTCTGTTTTTTTAATGATACTAGTGGAGGTTTTTTGTCTTGCTTTGGTAGAATGTATTATTATTTGGTTTCCTGCCAGATGGAGTACAGATGAACTCTTGCTGTGTACATTTCGATTCATCTTATTATTGTGCATGCCAAATTTAATGTTCATAAATGTGAATGTACTGGTAGGAAACCGTGCTTTGTTGCCTTCCTCAAGAGAAATTAAGCAATACATTTATTCAATTTGACACTCTTTTAAAATAAAAAGCAATTAAGACCATATCAGCCTGTACCACATTAAATATGTATTTATAGACCCACCCCCAGCATATCTTTGTCTTTTCCTCTTTTTATGTATTCCTTTTATTTCATATATCTCTCATGTGTTTCTTGTTTCTTTGTTACTGCATGTTCTCAGTTTCTATACATGTACACTGTCTTCATTATGAGAAATAAAGAGGAAATACCAAACTACTGACGTTTGCGAGAAGAAAAAAATGCAAATATGACACTGTAGAGGGAAATGTGGAATTTTATTGAAATATAATATCAACTTCTTGTGTAGGGGAGTGTGTTGGGAATAGTTGGCTGATCCAATAGTACAAAGATGACTGTAGTTATACAAAACATTAACATAATAGCCTATATCTGCATGCATGGAAGAGTGTCTGTGAATTACACCAATTTCCAAATAGGAACCATTTAACATAAATTCCCTCAACCAGTCATTTACACTGCAGGCATAATAAAGTTGTGCTATGAAGTCACACAGCAAAGTATTTTTAGATGTACCATAATTGAGCTTTGGGAGAAAAAGAAATCAATCCTTTGGCTTCGAACTGCTTCTCAGTTACAGGTTTAAGTTAACATTGTTACACCTGCTCTGACCATTAGTCGTAGGTAGATGGTATATGAGACAAACTGACAAAAGAAGGTACAAAGATGAGGTTGAACCATACATTGATACTTCAAAAATAAAAATAAAAAAAATGCAGAAACTTCGTTTTGATGCTTTTTTAATGAATGAAATATATTTCTTAGCCACATTTACTTTGGTCAACATGTAAAACTGTTACAGACAGTGGCAAAAAAGTCTGAATGATGCTTAACATATCGTCCTGCAAGAAAAGGTGGGGTTTCCATTTCACAGACATAAACAGATTCCAAGTTTAAAGACAATTTCCAGATTAAATCTGCTTTTAAATTCTGCTTTACAGAAGATTTGGTCACCTGTCCAGAGTCCATTGTTGACCATGTGAGCTGTAGATCCATTTATTGCAAGCAAAGTCAGAGTGCTCAAAATACTGCGGTTTAGTTTTTTCATTTATTAAATTTTTTTGTTGTTTTTTTTTTTAAATACACACATTAACCTCAATTTAGTTTTATTTTTCAAAAAGGGCTCCCAAAGTATATTTGGCCCTAATGCATGTTTCAAATAAACACCCAAACAGAGCCAAAACACTTGCTCTGACTGCCGTGCTTTACAAAGTGAACATTTGGCCTCAGAGGCCAAGAACCAATGAAAAAAAGACAACAAAAAAACACTGTTCGTAAAGGATCGATAGAACCACTTGAATCAGAGGCTAATAAAGCATGTTGTCAATGAAAATTATTTCAAATAATCTGTGGCAGAAAAAAAGGTTTAGATCCTTGCTGTTGAGCTAAATTATTAAGTGCTCACTGAAGTATGCTATGTCTTTTAAGTGCTTTTTTTCCATTTATAGCACATTTCATGAAAACTGAAAAACATAGACATGGCAACAAAGCAAGCAAAGCAAGAACCAAAAACACCCCAATTCATTTCCCACACTCCCCAGCTTGTCCACTCGTTTTTCTGTCGCTCTCACTTGAATTATTCTTGAAAAACAGGTACAGAGACTGAGGCAAGAGGGGCACATCAACCCCAGAAATAAAGAATATTCATACAAAAAAAATGTCAAAACAGTGAGTAACAAGATGAAGGGGAACTGAACGGCCGGGCCACGCTTCAGTCTACTTTCACCGAACGTCAACGCTGGTTTGTTTAATGACAACATCATTAAGAGAGGAACAAGGAAACTTTACACTGCCAGCATGCCCGCTTTGAGGGGAAACATGCTGGAGCGGCAACACGGGTGCCACGACCTGTAGACACCCCTCCTCTTCCTGCTCTTCCTCTTGTGGATTAGGTCTTGATCACTCCTCCATCTCCTTCGCTTACAAAACGCTTCCGCCCTCTAGTGGAGGAAACAAGGGTTGAGAGATATATAATTTTGGTGTGCACTGTACAATATTTAAGGTTATGGCTAGTTTTATTTTCTATTTTTTCTTGTTGTCAACAAATGCTGTAAAAAAAAATACCAAAACCAAAAATGAATTTATCCTAATAATAAGTATTGTCCGTGTAGTCAAAGTCTGATACAGCTTATGTCTCTATGCCATAGGAGTCAACTGGGTTGGAACAGCTTTTTACAAGTAAAATACAAGCACTTTCAAGGTACCTACATATCTAAATTATAACTATAAATGCAAAAAAAAAAGTTTACACCCCCTTTTTAATTTCATCCCACACCCACACCCCCACCCCCCCATTTACTTTTTAGTGCCTATGAATAAGTGGGCTTGGGGCTGAGGGCCACAGACATTGAAGGGAAGTATTGAGAGATGGTCATTATTGGTTGTGGTGTTTTCTTAGGATTTGTTGACAATTAGAAAAATATTAAATAACACCTGTTGCTATTAAAGAATGATTTAACAATGTTTATGGCCAACTAACCTGGAGGGACAGGTATCCCTCAGCTGTTTGGTGATGACAGACTCCTGATAGCAGAGGTCCACAAAGGTCTCCATTATAGAGTGGGCATGTGGTACATCAAGGTTGATTTCAGGGAGCTCTTCATAGACACGCTGGAAGCCCTACATGATAAAAATTTATAAAATACACATACATTTTCATATAAAATCATGTCTTTCATAGAGAAATATATTTTTAACCCAGTACATAAAAAAAAAAAAGGGCACTGACCCTGTTCATCTGATCCACAGTGATGAGGCCCGTTTTCCAGAAGGACTTCAGCAGCTTTATCATCATATGACTGGCAGTGTCTCCTTTTGACTCCAGTACCATCACTATGGTCTGAAACATAATGATAAAACATTTAATGTGTGTAAGGAAGAGGAGTGTGCTGCCATCGTCTAATGATAAAGATCAGCAGAATCAATAAATGGTGATCATAAATGATCTTTTTACATTTTACCACACGGTGGTATTGTTTGCCATTATTTTATACACCAAAGAGGAGAAGGTGCAGTAGTTTAACAATAACAAAACATGTCTGTTTCTTCTTTTAATTTGCAATTATGGAAAAGAAAAATCCAGTGAGACAAATGGCAGAAAAACAGAGTGAATAATTTCCAAATATGCTGCACATGTAGAACAAACAGCACCAGGCTACACAACAGTAAACTGTCCACTGTGTACACAACTGAAGCCATAGAAAACACAGAGTAATACATGTAGTGCAAATGAGGAACCACGTCTGCCAGGCACACACTGCCCTTGGCAGAAAACAGAAATGACTGTCACCAAGAGATTTTTTTTTCTTCCTCTGCAGTTCACTTGACTGGGCAAGAAAAACGCTTCAAAAATAAAAAAAAAGGCTCACTCTCTTGAAGTTAACTTGTATCTTATTGTCATAATGTGGGGAGAACATGGAGACATCTCACATAAAACCGATTGACATATCTGCAAATGTGATTTATACTTGAGACAGTTCTTAACTTGTGCCATAGTTCAAGACTGACACATGGCTTTAATACCTCATAGACCAGCTCATGGTGGAAGTGTGGGACTTCCAGGTCCCGCAGACAGCGCTCAGCCTCCGTCACGTCTCCTGATATCAGGTACTCCTTGAGCAGGAGGTTCATCTGGAATGAGAAGACAAACAGGCACAAAGAAAACATTATTTTTTGTCTTGTTGTTGAGATTTCTGTGTGCAGCTGGAATTAAGTAAAACCTGTAACCATTGTCGGTGGAGAGGGTTGTAAAGTCTGCCAGATATCATTTGGAATTTTTCTGTGAGGACACAAGATGGAGACACCATTGTTCCATCAGAGCAATAGCATGATGATTATAGTGTCCCTATTGATTGATTGATTGATTGATTGATTGATTGATTGATTGATCTATTGAGTACTACTGTGGAAATGTAAATTATGATGAATTGTCCATGTTTAAGTACAGTTAATTCTATTTAACGCCACAGTCTTCAAGTAGGACAAACCTTTATTTGTTCAAACAGACCCTGGATTTAAAAAATAAATAAATAAATAAAAGCTGAGCGGAGAGCTCAGTAACACCTGAAAGTATCTCCACCTAACAACCTGAAGTCAGCTAGAAAAATAAACATGTCTTCCTGTTTGGTGCTGTGCTTCAATCTTTATTCTCTGCTTCATTTGTTAGTATTGCTTGGTTATGTCAGTCTCGCCACACACAGACACACAGACACACAGACACACACACAGACACACAATGTATTTATGGACCAATTAGTCATACCACTTGAGATTTGAGAGGCATGTGATTGATGCAACAAGTCCAAAACCCTCAAAGCTAGACCAGCACTTGTGAGTCAACTCTGGGTCTAATTCACTGAGCTGGGGGGAACGTGTGGTCGTCTTAGTATTATGGGGAAATAAAGGATGTGATCTGGACAGGCAGGACAGTGACAGAGGAGAGGACGACAACATAGTGAATCAGAAAGAGAACACACTGACAGACCACTCTGCCATTTCTAATCATGCAAAAAAAAAAAATCTCTTAAAATGTTGCATAACTTATAATTCACAAGATGTGGACTTGAAACTCCCACACTATCCACACCCACATTAGCTTGAAAAAGAATTCCAGAAAATCAAGATCATGGAACAATAATTGTAAACAAAGACAAAGCCAAGAGGATGTGGGGTGCAAGGGAGTGCCTGTGTGTGTGTTGTATGCATTTCAGTTAAGAGCTAGGGTGTGTATCCATGTCAGCCTCTCCTGCGCCCTCGTTTTTGCAATTCCTGTGTCTCAGGGGAGAAAGTGCTCTGCTGACACAGCAACATAGCAGAGGCCTGGCCTGTGGCTTTCTACCCAGCATGCATTCCTGCCTTCTGTCTACGTATATGACACGATGTCAATAAAGCAGACCTCGTCGACACAAACACTTTAGGTGTTAGGGGTCATTTATTACATCATTTTGAATGAGGAAACAATCACAATCATTTTTGATCAGTTTACCTCTTTGATGAGATGTTTGACAGGTCTCAGGCCTCCGCCAACACCCCACACATTATCTAGGCGAACCATCTCCCTCTTCATGGTCAGCAGCACTGCGGCACGGTCTAAAGCCACTCTGGGGAAAAAGGAAAAAAAAACAACACAATGTTATTGTTTTTGCAGAGAAATGGGGAAAAATAGCAACGCTTGAGTGAGCATGGAGGTCTAAAATCACCAAGATAACATCACAACATAGATTTTTTTATTTTATTTAAGGCATTATCTGTTAAACACTCTGTACTACAGGAGAGGACGGCATCTGTTTCTCATAAAAAAGTTTTAAACACAGAGAGGAGGAAAGCCAAAGAGGGTTTTCCGCTGAATCTGTTATTAGCTTTTTGCTCATCTGACCATAAAATTAACATCACAAATTCACCTTCGAGAATTGTTAAGAGACTTCTTAGAGCTGTCTGTATTTATGTTGAAGAAGATGATGCTGTATCTGCATACTAATTCTGCTCGCCTTGGCTCACCTGGCATGCTCACAGTCCACTTTGCCCTTGTAACAGTCCAGGAAAGACATGGGGAGGATGTGGTCCGCTATGGCTCTGGCTATAAACTGGCCCAACATCTGAGAAACAAACGTCTTTGATTCATCTCCACATCATGTTTTCTTTTTTTGGCAGTCTAATGTTTAACATTAGTTTCAAGCTATAGAGTTTGATCCACTTATGCACAAAATACAAATTCACACAAACAGGTATCTGTGGCTCTGACTGCCACTTTGCCCTGTGCACATCAGGTCTACCTGTGGAGCCTCCGGTGTGTCCAGTATGAGATCTGGCAGCTCTTTGAGAATCTTGTCAAAGGCACGGGCCATGTCACTTTGTGACAGCAGCTTGCCCGTCAGATCAGACAGCAGGCGGGAGGTCAGCTCTCTGTGGCTGGCCTTGCCTTCCAGGGACAGGGACACAGCCAGGGAGGAGAACTCGTACTTATGCGGGCCCAGGTTGAGCCCCTTCAGTAGCATCTGACGGGAGGAGGACAAATAAACTGTATGAAATTGGGAGTTTACAGAACTATACAGTGTCTAGACAGTACTGTTAGTGTCTCCTGGTCAGCATGCATAGTGAAGGGTGTAGATCATTTACCTGGACCTCTTTTGTGTCTCCATGTTCAAAGTACTCCTGTACAATTGGGTTGACCATTTTCTCCAGTTCCCTCTCGTCTACCTCTGGCACAACAGTTGCATAAACGGTGTCCCCCTGTGCAAGAACAAACACATTATCAGTCAAAAAATGCACAGAAAAAGTGGACGCGCATTTGTATTCATATAAAGTTTTTGCAATTTGCCATGTAAGCATATATATTCCTCTACTTTAAACTATCTGTATTTAGCACTTCAGTCTCAGTTTTGTCCATTGACACTATCAAAATTCTAATATAATAATTTGAGATTATCACTGAGGTTTCTTTGAAAATGTCAGTTTTATCTGTCTCTGTTATAATGTAACTTAAACTTTTTTTTTTCCCTTCAACGCTTGCGTCAGTGGATGCCAAGAGTGCCAGTTACAACCAGTCCAACTGGTGAGGTTTCACTTGACCTGGAGAATGACAGCGAGCGTTGACAAAATAATAATGTTAGCACAGAGGGAATAGATTATGAAGAGACAAACTATGAATGGAGAATAACTTTTTTTAAGAGAAAAGCTGGCACTTATTTTAATGTCCTGGAAGATTTAAGAGTATAAAACATGACGACTCAAATGTCTTGATCTCTTTTGATAAGGCAGAGTTTATATAACAGGAAAAACAAATATCAGTATAAAGATGGACTGTAGCCAAAAGTCCAAAACTCTGAATCACTTTCCTGTTTTCTGCTCATGTTTTAGTGTTTTGGGTCTCTCCCATAACTCTCTACAGTGAACAATTTATGGCCAAATACAGGCAAAATAGTGAACATGTAAATGGTTTTTATTTTTATAGTTTTGGTGATATGGTTTCCATTGCAGGGCCACTGAAAATATTTTTACATTTTGTCATTTTCCCTAAGGACAGGATGACCTGTACCATTCAGAAATCCTTTATCAGGTGATCCCAATTAAAGAACAGTTTCTGCAAACGCCCCAGGTACTTTTCTGTACTCTGACCCAGTTCCCTGTCAACCCACTGACATCTTTCCACTACGATTTTCACAGCCGTTCCCATACCGTTATCAACTTCTTACTGACATAAGCTTCATTCCCACTCTGCAATTCAGTCAGCGAGACCATAACAGGAGACAAACAAACTTTCAGCATCACACAGAGCATTTGCTTGATAAGGGGGTTAAAGATTGAAATTTGCTGTTGATTGCGATGGGAAAGAGCCATCTGAATGAATCATGCGAGTAGGCGTGTTTTAAATGAGCTCTGGCCAAATCATGTAGACTTAAAAAAAAAAAAAAAATTCCCAATAGATTAATTATCTAACATAAATTACAAAACATTTTCTTTTATGTTTTGTCAACCAAGTTTGTCACAAGAGTGGAATAATAATAATGGTGTAATTCATTAGACATGCAAGAGTGCATATGCTCGGTGCTTGTTGTCTGAGCATGGACAGCCATTATATTGTTCACAGAGCAAAGCCTTGTTAATATTCAGTGTGTTTCAGCAGCAGCCCTTCAACATCAGCACGTTTGTTTGACACAAGAAATAAAAGCTGTCATCCAGTAAGCCACAGCTTTGATCAGTGGGCCTCTTTGGAACAAAAAGCTGCTCCATGCAACAGGTCACCAACAACTAACCTCTGCTGGAAAAAAACAGCTCAGAGTATGTGTGTGTACAGGCTGCTGACGCTCAATGATCAGAACGATCAATTCAGCAGCGCAAAGGAAAAATAATCCCTTTAATATTTAGAGTTGAAATAATGAATTGATTCATCCGCAACTCTATCGATGAATTATTCATCTTCAAGTCATTTTTCAGGCAAAATGTCAAAAGACTTTCAGCTGTGGGTTGGACTAAATAAGGAACTTGAAGACGTCACCTTTAAATATAATTATTAAATTCCCCATCTCACTACATAATTAATCAATTAAATTGGCAGATTATTCAGTATTTAAAAATACATTTTGGTTGCAGCCCTAATTTAATGGTTAAATTTACAGTTTAGACTATTTTTTTTTTTTTACTTTGTTCCATTTTCTTCATTTATCTTCATAACAATTACAATAACAGAGTATCACACTTATTAGTTATTAGTGGTGTTTAGTGTGCACTTATTACAATTAATAGAACAAAACCCAGCATGCCACAGGTGCTTAGGGGTTGAGCCATGAGCCACAACACCGCCAGTTCACATCCTTTGTTGGATGTCGTTTCCCAATCTTTCACCCCTCACCCTTCATTTCCTGTAATCTCTCTACTGCCATCTGTCTAATATAAGACATACAATGGCCAAAAATTATAACCAACCCAAGGTTGAGCGTAAAGTCCAACCTCTCTCAGATAAATATGCACATTAATCTATGAACAGTCCTAACTCCAAACAGAGACTGCTACACTCACTCACCTGAGCAGCTTCATCATAGTTGGGGTCCCGTACATCAGGCTCCTCATCTTCATAAACCATCCCAGCAGCCCCCCAAACTCCTTTACCACCTGCTCCACCTGGAGACAACCAGACAGCCAGCAGACAAACCATAAAGGTATGTTTCACATTTCCAACCAATCTAATTGCTGCGATCAACAATCAGCACATGTGCACAAATCACAGATGCCAGAAATTGTCTTCATGACCAAGGTCCAGAAATATGCAAACAAATGTTTCTACCAGTGCTTTTTCCATTTTCAATATGGTAAATGAAGTTATAACCTGTTGTTTATTTACACCAGACATCTCTATGTTCACTGATGTCATCAACAAAAGATGCATTATGTAAAGTTGGCTGAACTTTCTATGGCTACAGAAAATGTTCCTCTCTGCCTCAAAGCAGCAGCTGGGCACAGTGCCTGTGGCTACTCCCCCTTCTCTTACTGTAAAAAAAAAAAAAAAAAAAAAGGCTGTGGCAGCATCTGGAAAACAAAAAAAGCAGAGCGCTGCATATACTAGTGTAGCTCAAATGTACCTTTTTTTGGCAGGCCTCGGCCTTTGCCCGTCCTGGATTTGCGGTCATTGGTGTTTACTTTGCCCTTTGGACTGTGTGGGTCACCTCCTACCAAATCTCCTGATTCAGAGAAAGACTCGCTGGTGGAGTTGCGGGATGACGACTTGCGCAGGCGTCGCTTGGCTTTGGCCTTGAGCCGCGCCTCGTGAAGCGCTTTCTCCTGAGGCGTCCAGTTGCCGTTCACCTCTGCCTCATTCAGATCTTCGTCAACGCTGTAGGGACGGTTAGCCTCCGCCAGGTTGTCATCAAAAGAGAACATCCCTGTGGTCAAAACATTAGAAAGGTTGATGGCCGTTAATGATCTGATTAGTTATTATACAGCCATGAAAGCATGTACAAGTCATTGGAGAGATTATCGGACAGTCAAGTACAATATATGGCTAAAAGGAAGTGGATGCAACCCTTTCTGCCTTCCACCTGACAATGCCACTGTGCACAACGCGAGGTCCATAAAGAAATAGTTTTTTGTGTGGAAGACTGGCAAGCACATAGCCTGTGCTGGACATCAATAATGCTCTTGTGGTTGAATGGGAGCAAATCCCTACAGCCAGTTTTACTAAATCTTATGGAAAGCCTTCCCAGAATAGTGGAGGCTGTTTAACCGTCACATACACCATGTGTCTAATGTTCAAGTGTGCACATACATGTTGTACTTGATGTTCTACATCTTTAAATACTAAATGTTGCATGCTAGACCTTTTCGGTCATTTATTTACAGAAGTGGAATATAATATTCATAGGTATGCTTTCATTAGTATATAATCACCAGAACAGACAAACCAAAAAACGGCTCTAGATAGGGCCATTTCCATTTCTCTGTTGCGCATGGAAAGGGTGGGTTAAACAAGTTAAACAAGATTCCACTACATCCTACACATTGGTCCGTTAACTTGGGTGACAGAAACAAGACATATTAGTAAGAATGTAAACACAAAAAAGGAAATCCTAAAGGAATATTTTATATTATGTGGGAATCTGTATGAGATTAGTTCATTTATGTGTCCAAAAATACATATAATATTAATAAAAAAAGATCTGAAATGTTCTACACTAGTGAATTCATTTCAGAAATAAAACTTTATTTAAACCCATACAAAGTTAATGTAGGCAAACAACTTTCTGCCAGGGATGCACTCTGGTGAAAAGATAAAGTTCTGCCCTTCATTGAATTGGATTCAGTCGGCACCAAAGAGCTCATGACTATAGTGAGACATTATGTATTCATGTCGAACTCATACCGACACTGCTTGGCTTAGATTTATCTGCACCGCAAACACTACAGTTCACCTCTGCTGCATTCAGCAAAATTCTACTAACACCTTTACACTACAGCAACACCAGCGCAGGGTGTGAAAACAATACTTGCTGTGTGCGCTACCAGCCTCCTCCGTATGTCAATGCCATGTTCTACACATCAAGCCAGAAGGTCACATAACACCCACAAATTTACACATGCATTCTTGTGACACTCACCAGTTCTATGAGGAGGTGTATGGTGGGTAAAAGTGTCAAGTAACTTAATATACTATTCTTCTGTGGGTGCAAAGAAAATAATGCATTTAGTTTAAAAAAACAAAAAAAACGCCTGCCCAGGTTGCTTCCACTAGACACAGAGACAACAACAAGTGGGACTGGAGTGCTCCTGCAGGCATGGGAGGAGGGAGTGAGGGAGCAAAGGGGAACACATGCCGGAGAAACGCTGACACTAGTTTTTTTTTTATTTCTCCGTCTTCTCGCGATTTGTCCGCGGCAGTTACAGTGGACCTGACTACATATGGCATGGTTGGGTCCATGACTCGTCACATGACAGGGACTGTAGGAGAGAGAGGAAAGCAGGAGGAGGAGGAATGTCTGAGGGTGTAATGAATACTTGCACAGGCCCCAAATGGCAGTTATGGGAGTTATGGCCCTATAGATTACAGGACATGTAGAAAACACACAAGGGAGGAGGGGGAGAGAAAGGTCCATGCCACATATACTAACTATCCAAAAAAGCAGCAGCAGCCTGTGTGCTGCAAAAGTACCAAATGGCTACAGCTAGTGTAATTATCATACTTCTGGTGCAGGAGAAAAACAATTAAGTTAAAACTTTAAAGAGAAAGATCTGAAATGTTTGACTTTTACAGAGTTCAGTCCGCTTAAGAGCGTGAATAACAAATGTAAGGAAGCACCTTTGAGCAAAGCTGGACACCTGCCTGAATTAACCTGTTGCTGTAAGAGCACCACCACACCCTTGGCCTTCAAAATCTGTAAACAGCCGACCATGTGTCATCTCCTCCTCCTCCTCCTCCTCCTCCTCCTCCTCCTCCTCCGTCCCTCACGTAGACCACAGGGCCTTGCCAGTGCAGTAAAGTAGGAACCAGAAATGGTAGCGTGCCAAATACACCACTGGCCAATTGGAAAAGAGCAGAAAATGGGAAGGCAGAAAAAGTCAGAGCTGTTTGCCAAGACTAAGAGTTGCAAAACAAGCATAACAAAATGCAGCCGAGCTACGTTTTTTAAAACACGGAAGACGTCGTGTGGCTCTTAAACGCAGAAATGTACAGCAAAAAAGTTGTTGCTTAGAGGTTTACCTTACACAGGTAGGTCTGTGTGTTACACAGTGCCATAAAGCTGCAGCAACAAACACACCCCGCTTTCTTTAACCCTGCACGCCTACCAGAGCACACCAAAATGAATACCAAACCAAATAACACTCTCATGATGGTTTTTCAAAACCTCCCCCACAGTTAACCAGTCTTTAAAAACACACAGCCAGATGCAGACCAGCAGAGTACCTCTGCCCTACATGCTGTGTGGGAGCTTTCCAGTGTTGAGGCACTTTAGTTTTAGGTCTTCATACAGCAGCAGTGTTTATGAATGCGAGGAAGGTCAGTGGAGCAGAGTTCTCACATTCCTCCAAGAGACCGACCTAGTTTTTGTTCTAGTGCATACATACTGTATGTCTATATGCATGCACATATGTATGTGCGTACTGCAATATTAATATCAGGGAGAATGTCAAATGCAGAACAATGTTTTGGTCCCCCTCCATGATGTATGTGCAGAATTTGACACTAAAAAACCTGTTTTTAAATGCATCTGCTGAAGAAGTATCACTCACCTTAAAGCTAAATTTAAGACTTGTATGTACAAGTAGGATTTGTAACATCACAACTGTGTCAGGCAGGTACACTTTTAAAGCTAACAATATTTGCATATTCAAAATTCTAGGATTGTCACTGGGAGAAGGAATCTGTATTTTTAACAATTTTTCATTTTGAATCACTGTCATAATTAGTTTTGCGTCTGTATATCATTACCGGTATATGAAAGACCGTTTTGTGAGATGTGGAATTATCTATTTTTTCCCCTTCATTCTTGTTATTATTACTTTGACCTTCTTTCCTGTTGTAGGAGGGGGTTATTCATAAGGCCCTGTGTTGCTGCAAAAATGTAATTCAAATATATATTTTTTTCAAAGCTTCAACTCACAAAGTTCTTTGCCAGTTTTATCAATCCCTGTGCAAGAAATATATTGTAACACATCCAAGAGTGCAAGCAACTTACGCACTACATTAAGTTTTAATGACACTTCTGTGTAAATTGTTTATAGTTAGAAGGTGGCGTGGGTGCTCTAATTTGCACACACCAACAGACGGTCTGTTTGCAGGTTCAGAAGGGTTGCACACAAGAACAGAGTGAAGCAGCACATTAAGGACAACTTTTTGTTGTTTTAATACTCGCTTGCTATGTTGTCTTTATTCTTCTCGTCACTATGTCTTGCGTCTATGTTAGTTTGTGGCGCCTCCAGGGCTACCATTGTAGCCTGGAGACAAAAATCTCACTTTCAGTTGAACAAACCTGGTTACTAAAGGAGATCTTTCTTTGTCAACCCACGCACAGGAAAAAAAAACATAAGCAAAACCATGTGTGGTGTCCTCTAAGGTCAAACAAGCATCTGGACAATAATATAAGACAAAAAGAAAACCGTTCTACTGCATATGGTCCTGTGGTGATTATCTATCAAAAGGACAGAAGGGTGTGGATGTTCTAGGAGTTTAACTGTCATTTCATTTAATGAAAGGACACTTTAAAAACATGTTTGACACATTATCTAAACTTTGTGTGCATGTGGCGATTTTTGTGTTCAAATCAACAACAACGGAAGCTTAGGCAGCGGCCACACACACACACCACAAATAAAAAAACACCACATGTGAAACAATGTGGCTTGTTTTATTAATGCAGAAAGAAAAAATTAACCACCTAACGTGGTGGAAACGTGTGCAGTTCTGCTGACTGTGCTTCTTGAGTTACCCTCCAACAGCTGCAGAGCAATAACAAAGATAAAGTGCATACAAAAGATCAGACCTCAGATAAACAGTAGAGAGTCTGATAGCGTGGGTTTTTTTGGGGGGGGGTTATAATCAGCCAATCACCTCTGGGGGTGCAGTGTAAAACACTACTTTACACTGTTTGTGTTCACGTTTCAAATTGAACAACTTAATGCAAACGGACGGTGTGTGCTAACATGTTTTCATGAATGTGTGTCTGTGTGTGTGTGGGGGGGGGAGAGGTATTTAGAAAGAAGAGTGGGGTAAGACCATAACTATGTACTCAGCCGCCCACGAACAGATCTGGCTTGACATTTATGGCAGTGGGTTTTTTTTCCCCAGGCACTTAATGCATGCATTTATCCAAGGAGTTACATAAATGCTCTTACAGGTGGGGCTTGACACAGGATTTAAATCTGCACCTAAAGGGCCTGTATCATCGCACAGACCTGCTCTGTGTAATATCTGGCTTATAGGTGTGCTTGATCGGCAGCGAGAAATTAGCAACATGGGGCTCCAAAAAAATGCAAATTTGCATGTTTTGGTGGGTTGGTTTTGGACTAGTAATGTAAAGACATTACATTAAGCTCCGGTAATATGTGAACAACTGATAAGACATTTCTGTGCCAGTCCGGTGTCCAGAATGACCCACTATGTTTCAAAGGAGTTGCCCGCCCTCCATCTTTTTCCAGCACAGACAATAGAATCTTTGACAGTGTGAGACCACCTCATCAACAGAGTTTGCTCAATCAAGCGTGGCTGGCTGACCTGCATCGAGAGAAAAGGAAGTTCATGCAAAAAAAAAAAAAACATCTGTGCACTGCTTTCTCTCACACACACACACACACACACACACACAACACATAACATACCCGCAACACACCATGTGGTCTCTCACATGGTTTGATTTACCTCCGTTTGACCTCTGGGAATCAGTGTTTTATTAAGCAAAAACTCAAAATCAAGGCATTCATGTTTAAAGGTTGAAAATCTGATCAGTGCTAGTGTGACACATTACAAACAGGTTGCAGCGCCGACAATACATTTCTGCTACTTATGTAAGCTTTAAATACACAACAACGCAGAGATTATGTAAGGCTTTCCTATTGGCTCTTATAGGAGGCTATACATGTCGACGTCATCGCCAGGCTGAGAAAGGACAGCACGGACTCCAGTGTGCCACGAGCTCACATACCAGTCAACAACTGTGCACATGATTTAAAATTCATTATTCAAAGACACTGCGCGCATTAAAGACGCGTGCACGACGGAGATAGTGTAGGTCAAACGTCGGTGCTGTCCTGATTGGTCGAGTTCAATCAAAAATGTCCTCCTGTTTTGTTTGTGTGCCGTGTTTCTCAGAATGTGCAAGCATTTGTTGAAAATCAAACAAGTCAATCATTTCATGCAGGAAAGGGGCGTGAAGCATTAACTGCACTGCGTCTGCGTGGAAATAAGATCATAGATATAGAGACACGTTTCTGTAGCTATTGGTGAAAAACACCAAGGCTGACACACGAGAAGGTGATTGAGGAACCACAACCCTTACATCCTGCCGTTCAAGAACCAAAAAAATAAATAAATAAATAAAATCAGGAACTAAAACAGCTCAGTTTTACAACCACGCACATAAAGCTTAACTACTCGATTAACGGCGCAAAATGCACGGCAAAAGTTATGTGTCTGAAAACGCACTCAGCAGCCGTGCTAGTGTTGTGCACTCGACTTGACCAAAGCGGAAGTAAGCGTTACGGCCTCGTCCAATCAGAAAACGCGAAAGGGTTAAATGTAAGAGCAAGCACAACAACAAACACCGTGTCAAAGCGGCTAAAAACACCAACAAAATGTGTAAATGGAGTTCGGTCCTAGCTGTAGCGTCCTGGGTGCGAAGCTGCGTCCGTGTACAGGGGTAGCTGCACCACTGCTCGCTGTTTGTGTGTGTGTATATATACATACATATATGTGTGTGTGTGTGTGTGTGTGTGTGTGTGTGTGTGTGTGTGTGTGTGTGTGTGTGTGTGTCTGGTTTTAACGGAGCACATGGTGGAGCATGGCTAGCCCCTGCAGCCCATCCCATGCAGGGACAATAGATCGGGGAGAGCACGCCAGCAGGCCCAGCGATGAGGCTCCATGAGACTTTGCACTGACGTACGCGACACAAAAAAAAAGCCCAGGCAGGGATTCAGTCACTCACCGTCGGCCTGTGCAGCGGTGGACCACGTATCCACTTCGGTCGCCATGGCGCTCTCCAAATGCTCGATTAATACGAATTAGAAAAAATAAAAAATAAAAAAAAAATCCTCACCGTGTGCTCCCTCCTGTCGAGCAACAAATCCCCCCCCACCCCCGAATAAACGTCTGCAGAACAAGCTGCTCGGTGTTTAAACAGTCTTTTGATAAATGGCACGTGAAAAAATCCCGAGCCTTTTGTTTGTTTTTGTTGTTTTTTTTGTTCGTGCTGCACGGTTATCAGCTGAAGAAAACACACACTCACAAATACAAAAGCAGGTCAAATTGAATTACCACGAGACAAAAAAAATTTAAAAAAAATTAAAGGCTAACGAGTGAAGGAGGTAAAATGCAAAGGTTGCACGCGCCTCTCAGCGTTTACGGCTGGGGAGAGTAAAAACAAAAACGAGCCTGAGAAGGAAGGAAGAGGGGGAAAAGAGAGCAGGTTAACTAGTCGGAGAGCATTTCAAACAAACGGTCTGCAGGATAAACAAAGTCTGTTTTTAACTTTGCAGGAGCGATCCGAGAGGGGGTCACGTGGGAGTAAACGCGGATGGGGAGTGGTCAATAGAGGGGGTGGGTGCTGGCCAGTCTGACCAATCACTGAGCGGCTGCTGTAATATACAGACTGCGCTACATAAAAAATAAAAAGGTTTTTTTTGTTAGATTTTAAAAGCTGTAACAAGTAAAAAATGTATCTTAAACACATAACAAAATCACGAAATTACATTACATTAAGTATGTGTTGCATTTTATTCATTTGCTTACTTAATTATCAATAATAAAAGCTAATTAATTCTTAATTCTAATCCTTTTCTTATATCTATCATTTTATATATATATATGTATATATATATATATATATATATATATATATATATATATATCACATTATTCTAATTTTTGCAATGTCTATGAGGTTTATTGAATGTGTATGTTGATTTTGTTAATAATTATTTTTATTACATCAAATAGAATTAAGTGAGTTTATGACCCCAAACATAACTTTTAATTGTAATTGTTAATTTTGTAGGATTACTGCAAAAGCAATGGCAGCTTGGTGGCTGGGAAACTGTTGGTTGCAGATGTTTGGGTGTTTACCTACTCTCTTTTTATGAGCTTTTCAGTTTTCTCATTTCATCGTCAGCCTGTAGTAGTGGACAATCTGTTTGTACTGTAATGTTTTGTGTATTAAGTTGAGATGTCCCTTTGTACCTGGTTGAGGACTAATGTATGTTGCTGCATGTCATTCCCCTCCTCTGGTTCTAATTTCCTGTCAGTTCACTACTGTCTTTTGTCTAATAAAGGCAAACATAGTGCAGCAATACGAACTATTGCTTAAGGGAGACATACAGGTAATACTTGCTGTGCATGAGAAAACCTTTCAGTCCACATTGAAGTATTTTTGTCATCTAAATTCACACCACAAGGTGGTGCTCAAAACATGTGCAGCTGATGGCTAATCAGCATTCAGGTGCCCTCAGTATGTAGCAGCACTTAAATGTTGGGACACTATCCACGTTTTTACACAATTTTCTGAATAGTTTTGTCCCCTTCATGAGAGCTACTGGCTCTTCTCATTTGTTTTATAATATAAAACATTGTTCATCATCATCAGTCACTACTATTTGTGTAGTTGTTGCTACTGTTGTTGCTGTGCACCTGTCTCTCTCTCTCTGTCTCTCTCTCTCTCTCCCCAACTAGTCGAGGCAGACGACCACCCGCCTAGAGCCGAAGGGTCTGTCCTAGGTTTCTGCCTCTTAACAGGCAGTTTTTCCTTGCCCCCGTCACCAAGTGCTTGCTCATGGTGGTACTGTTGGGTCTCTGTAAGGTTATAAGGAGTTCGGTCTAGACCTGCTCTATTTGAAAAGTGTCCTGAGATAACTTCTGTTATGAATTGGCGCTATACAAATAAAATTGAATTGAATTGAACTGAATTGAATTAAAACATATCTTATGACATGACAGTTGGCTCACAACTAGCTTGTTATGATCATGGCAGGAGTTCTTGGTGCAAAAATGAGCCAATGGGCCTATATTTAATCCCTGTGTCTTCCACTCTCTGTGCAATTTGTGCAGATTTTCTACCCTACACATATTAGGAAATGTAAAGTCATAATAAAGGTCTTTTGACACAAGGACCAAGACAGGCATCAGGATTAGGTAATAAAGCAAGAACCCACCTTTTGGTCCCTTATCAAGTTAGTTGATTTTGTGCTTTAAAGAGAGAGTATTCCCAGTTACATTAGCACAAACCACTTGTATTTAAATCTGGAGCTTTTGTTGCTCCCCTATGGTTTGCGGGACCAGGGGCAGTCACCCGCTTTCCCCATCTTCGGTAATAATAAGTAATATTAAGCAAATTCTTGGACTTTTTCAGCTCATATTAGAGGAACAAATGCAGACAGACTGGTCTTGTCAAAGCATATGGCAGCAGTGGATATATTACAAGAATGTACGACAACAAAAGACTGTCAATGCTCTCATGCTGCATGTTGTTATTGTCATTGCTGATGCACACAGTGCTGTCAGCTAGACACGATAACAAATTTCACACTTGTGTTTCTTGTGGTTTACTCCTGAAAAGATGAAGCTTTCAGATTGAGTGCAGCCTGATGATTCATCCTGAGTCACAGTGTTAGATATTTAAGAGTGGGTGTTTTTAGCTCATTCCCTGCTTGAATGAGTTTAGCTGTATTTCAAAGCAGAATATTCCTTCTACCCCAGGCAACTACAAACATGTGTATGGTGATTACAAAAGTACAGACATGTATTTGGTAGCACTCGTTAGCATTTATTTTGACACAAAATCCAGTTTTTGTCGAATAAAGTAGCGCATATGTCTGTGTCCAACTTGGTAGACTCCCAGTGAGCATCAATGCAAAAAACCTCAAATGGAAGAAACCTAAATACAACCCCACCTTCTGGAAAAAGCACCGGGATATGTGCAACCAAACAAATACTTAAAAATGTGAGACCATCTCAGTGTTTGGATTTTACATCAGAAATCTCTATGCTATACACCAAAATACAAAATCAATTTGATATTCATGATGACATAAAAATGTTTGGATATTCATATTGACAAATATCATGTTAACAAATACCAACAACAATCAACTTTGGCCTCATAATAAGCGACAATGATTTAACACCACAACAACACGGCTGACAGTAACTCTCTCACACATGCGTACAACACACTGAAGAGCTGCAGGTAGAATTGCACAAGGATACCCTCAAAGAACACCACATTTTGTATTAATATTAATCTGAACTATTCCACATACAATCACATATAGATACTTCTATAAATCCTGCAATCTCGTAGCTGCAGGAGTAAAAGGAGAACACTTTGTTTCCCGGGAGACAAAAAGTCTTGAGTTATCCTGAATCAACAGGGTTTTTAATCTTTTGGGTTTTTGTTTTGTTCCTGGCAAACGAGTTCAGCCGTACCAATGTGGGCTCTGTGTTTTTCTTTTTCAAATCTTCAATTCTTGGCATTACAAAATAAAGTCAGTACAAATATAGAGTAAATACTATCTTGATAAGGAGAAGTAAACAGTCCTTTGCAGTCAAAACTCAGCGAGGTAACAGTCTTATATCAGGCCTTGGCCTTCAGTGGCAATGAGGGTTGAGTTTGGGCATTTTTGTCTGTACATACTTGCTGCTGACAAGGCAAAAAAAAAAAAATCTAACTAGTTCTATATACACTGAACTCAGATAAGTTTGGCATCAATGTAAAATCGGAGTTGGGGTAAAACAAGCGCCTGTTTGTGCCTCTTGTGGATCACCATTATATTTGAGTCACAGAGCTAAATGTCTATTTTTATGAAAACCAATACCTTGTGATCTTTTTTTTTTGAGAATCCTCAAGGACAATGTCATCCATCTGGACAAGCAAATATTCAGTCCAAATATTAAAAAATATTTTTCTACTACTCTACTATCTCTTCCTGAGTTCTCTCTCTTATTTCCTTGTTACACAGATTCATAAAGACCAGATTAAGAATGCTGTGTAAAATTACAAACAGTCTAAGAATTAAGTCTACAATAAAATTCATAAATTATTGACAAAACAAAACAACTGTATACTACTGGATAATAAATAAAGTTCAAACAATCTTGCCCTCATTTCCAGGCCTGTGAGACAAAGTTAGCAAATTTTAACACTTTAGCTGTTCCAATTTTTAATCATTTGCATAACTTCATCATAATTTAATGGTTTTGTTTGTTTTTCATGTAAAATTGGCACTCATAAATCATGATAGTGTGTACAACAGAAAAGAAAATAGGACTCACTTCCTACTCACATGTTGTTTTCCTCCTGAATATTTTTGAATGTGAATAAACAAATCTTTTTTATTCTGTATGAAAATACAAAAAAAAACTTGAATATAGAAAATATAACATAATAAAACTTTTACATTTTGGTTCACGTTGTACAAATCCAAGGACATAACGTTATTTCCTGTTACCATATTTGTATGGAATAGGAAACAGTTGCAACTTGGGAAATGGCTTGTTCTTTCAAAGATCGTCAGTTTATTTTTCAGAAACACGGATGCTTGACTCAGTGACCCGAATGTAATGTGGTAACACACAAGAGGCACAGACAGAGGCTACGGTAAAACCAGATAATCTGAGTTTGCACTTGGGAGAAACCTTAAGCCAAAGGCCTTTAAAAATGCAGTATGATGTACAATCAAGGGCCTCTGCCCAGCACAGCTCACGGATCAGTTATAAAGAGGTAAATGTCTTTTTCACAACAATTTCCTATCAACCAGCATTAACTAGAGTAAGGAAAAAAAGTGTGAATACTATTGCTAAATACTATTTTTGCAAGTCTCACATGTATTACATATTGTGTATATTTTATAAAGAGACCGCTAAGCACTGCTAGAAAATGTTTGCCCATTTGATGTACGACTATACACAATTTACAGAAAATGCACACACACACACACACACACACACACACACTCACATAGCAGCAGTAAACTATAGAATGCCTAACAGAAAGTCTATTTTCATCTAGGCACCATATAACCTTGATAAACATACATTAGCTAGAACTAATGAGAAAATAACAACTGTCCATTCGTTGGCTAAAAAATGTACAGCAGCCAAAAGGCTTTTATGTCGATGTGTTCAGAGGACGAACAGTCTCAGTCAGAGCATTCGTCACCTCTGAGACACACCTGTGACTCACTCCAAAAGAGCTTTAAAAAGAGACGATCAGAGGATGTCGAGAAAACCTTCATAACGTCCTTGCATTCCCCATTGAGGTACACACAGACACATGATTTGTCTATGACAAAATAAAGGTGTTATTGAGCTGAATCAAGACAATGATTTCTGTCCACAGAAATGAGTTGAAAGCTTTGCCTTTAGGCTTTAGACAATTAAGTCGGTTTTGCACAGAGCTGAGGACACAATGAAGTGGCCTCTAGTCAATGAACTACAGAGACATTTGTCTCATAAGAACTACAGCAACACAAAAAATGTGATTTGAG